TGGGCCCCCCACCGGGACCCCCGGCTCCTCGTCAGGGTGGAAAACCTCGGCTTTCCACGCCGGCCGCCCCGCGCGGCCTGCTCGGGAGGTTTGACATGAGCAGCTGAGAAGCTGGGCTCCACCCGGAAGCGGAAGTGACCCCGGAGGGAGCAACACCTGACAGGGACCGGGCGGCCCTCAGACCCCGCGGTGGGCGGGCGGGGAAGGGGTCCCCCCTCTCTTTCCCAGCACTCGCCCCGAACCCCCTCCTCACCGCCCGCCCGGCGCCGGCAGCGGTCACAGGACAGCCATGGCCTCCCGTCGCCCCCCATGGCGCCTTCAGACTCCAGTGGGGACCCCCTGGCTTGAATTTTTAGGTGGAAACGGGGGTCACAGCCACCTGTTCACGTGGACGGGACGCTGGGCTGAGGCTGGACCGCCGGTGGCCGCTCTGCGGGACCCCACACAGTCTTGTAACACGGATGGGGTTGGTGGTCTTAGACACCTGACGCGGACGGACATTTTCTCGGAAATTGGAGCTTCCCTGTTGGAAAACCATCGACTCCACGAAGGCATGTTCTACCCCCCCGAGTCTCCTGATTCATGAAGAACTCAGAGTAAACTTGGAGGCCCTGGGAAGACAGCCCTTTTGAGATTGGGAAAAAATTAATTTAAAAAAGATGATGTTTGTGAGAAGTTAGTCAAGACTCTGAGCTCCCTGGGTTCTCAGGCTGGAAGGAGGCCGAGGAAGCCCAGTGCCCGTTGGGACACTCAGCTCTGTTGTCCTCCTGTCTTAACTCTGCCCCCAGGGACCGTGGGGGTCGCCCCGGATGTGTGTGTTCCCCGAGACAGACCCGAGTTCCTGCTAAGGTTCAGAGGGCACTGCCCCCGAGTCCCGCAGAGCCTGAATTACCAGATAGTTGACGCCTGCAAAGGTCCCTGTTGGTATATTAACTTTCAACAACCTTCCGACTATTGATTGCGTGGGTATGGCCTGTACAAAATTCAATTTTGGCCAAAAAGGGGGAAAAATGGTTTGTCATGATGTATTGGGCCCGTGGCAGCATGGGGGACACGCTTCAAGAATATAAGGTCTACAGCTTTCATCAAGGGAACACGCATGTAGTGGTCGCTCCTGATAAGGCTCAAACAGCATTGAGAAAAGTAAGAGGATGCAAGGGGGGGAGAAGGGGGGAGGATGGCATTGCTACCTAAATGCAATATAGATAGCCCAGCTTTTCTGTTTTTTTTTACATGACCAAGAAGGATCTAAGTAGGATTCTGAGTTAACGGCATCCGTGTGCATGCTGATCACACTCCCCCATTTTCTCCCCACCCTTCAGATTGCAGCCCATCTTTCAAAGACAGAGCGAGCTCACTTGGGACGTCCTCCGGGAGCCTTTGCTGACCGCCAGCCTCCCAGCCTTCACGGTGAGTATCCCCGACGCAGGCCTCCAGCGGCGAAGGCTGCTTGTCGTGTCGTTTCCTAACTTGCTAAGACGCCTTCTTCAAGTCATCAAAGAGGAGCCTTTCTAGACCTCCGTCCCCCTGATTGGCCTTGCCCACTTCGTCCTTCTGGAAAAGACGGAGATGGGTTTAGGAAACAGGTTGAAGTTGTCTTTCAGGAACAAGAAATGGGATGTATGTTTAGGTATTTGATTCATTTAGCTTCAGGTCTGTACTGTTTTAACAGGTCTTTCTGTGAGCAGTCCTGTGCTAGGTTCCAAACAGGAGGCGACTTCTTGTCCTAGGGATGTTCAGACACCTGCAGGTGCATCCCCCCCTCTGTCAGGGATGTCCAATCAGTTACAGAGCAGATAGTTGACCTGATTGACCTCTAAGGATTCCCAACTATAATATGTCCGTGAACAATGCACCCATGAGACTCCCAACTAGTGTATAAATTCTTTGAAGCCGGGTCTGTGTATGGTTCACCTAAGCCAGTGTTATTCAGACCCATTTTTGAGTCATAAAATCAATGTGTTCATCCATAATTACAATTTTAAAAAATGAAATGAACCCAACTGTTGTGGCTCAGTGGTTGAGCATTGACCTATGAACCAGGAGGTCGCGGTTTGATTCCCCATCAGGGCACATGCCCCAGCTGAGGGCTCCATCCCCAGTAGGGGGCATGTGGAAGGTCGATCAATGATTCTCTCTCATTGATGTTTCTCTCTCTCCCCCCCCCCCCTTCCTGTCTGAAATCAATAAAAATATATTTTGAGTCCTAGCCGGTTTGGCTCAGTGGATAGAGCATCGGCCTGGGAACTAAAGAGTCCCAGGTTCGATTCCAGCCAAGGGCACATGCCCGAGTTGTGGGCTCGATCCCCCCCCAGTAAGGGTCGTGCAGGAGGCAGCCAATCAATGATTCTCTCTCATCATTGATGTTTCTATCTCTCTATCTCTCTCCTTTCCTCTCTGAAATCAATAAAAAATATATATAAAAATAAAATATATTTTAAAAAATGAAAAAGTATGAAGGCATAGAAAATAACCAGGTAAACCACCCATAGGAAGGGTAATTTGGGTTTTGTGAAAGTTTGGTTCCTATAGCACAGACATGTCTGTGCTTTACAAAATTAAATCCGTTTCTTCTGTAAGCCATTCTAAAAAAAAAAGAAATGTGAAAAACACTCATCAAGGACAGTCCTAACTGAGAAAAACTCAAGAAAGAGGTGTTAGATACCTAAATGACAGATCACTAGTACTGTCCAGAGCAGTGCCTTAGCTAAAAATGGAGAGCTACTAGATTTTAAAAGGGTGAGATGGAACGGGGTGTTCATAATAAAACATAAAACCGGATTTTCACAGACATCTTTGTAAAACTAGTGGAGACTGTTACGCTTCTGTCCAGGTTTAAGTTTAGTATCTCAACCTGGTACCTAGCAACATGAATATTATTCAGTTTATTAAAGTTCTACGAGGAAGAGGTAGTTTTCAGGATTTCAGGTATCCCTGGAGAGGGATATATTTATATTTACTTCTCTAGCTTCGTTCTTAGCTCTTCTTTGTCTGGAGTTCTAAAATTGGTGTGTCCGACGTGAATGGTCCCGGGAGAATGCTGGGAAGAGCACAGTTCTTAGAGTCAGAACACTGAGTCAGCTGGTTGGCCGTGGGCAAGTCATGTAACTTTGCTGTGCCACCGTCATTTTGTCTTTGAAGTGGGGACAGTGAGTGACACTGACCTACTGGCTGCATAGAATTGATGTGAGTCAACTGAGATAAATATTTGGAAAAATACTATGTTGAAAGGTTTCCAAGTATAATTTAAGTCCTTCACCATTTCAAAAAGAATTTGAGGCCACTAAGTGTAAAGATCGGTTTTATTATTATTAATATTTCTGAACTGTGAACTCTGTCGTCACTTTTCAACCCCAGCTCTGCCACTCAGCTGTGTTCCTGGGCGCCTCGAGGCAAACATCCTGAATCATGGTCTTCCATGAGCAGGGAGTTCCCAATAGCCGGGCAGTAGAGTGAAGGTCACAGTCATCTGGCTGTTGTACCTGCTGTTCCACGCACAGCTCTCCAGCGCTTGCTTATGTCTCCCCTTCTACAAGCATTCCATTCATGCCACGAGCATTCGGTTCGCTTCCGGCAGTGGGGTAGGGAGCCCGCCAGGTGGATCTAAGGGCAAAGACAGAATCGCTGCGCTGCTGCACGGAAGCGAACAGGTAGAAAGAGTCACCTCCTCTAAGCTAAAACGGTCCTTTTCTCCGTGGGCCCTTCAACTGTTCCTGAGACTCCGGTGGGGTAAACCACCGTTGTCTGAGGAAGTTTCCCAAAGGAACGGAAATAAACCAAGGAAGCGAGATGGTTCTTTTCTCACCGCACAGCTGGGATGGACGGCTTGGAGTAGTGTGTACTACCGCACTGACTCTCGTAGTAGGTCACACTACAAAAACAAACCCAAGACACATGTTAACACTAAGCTGTGTGTGCATAGATGCTACTCACTGCCACCCTGTGCGTAAGAGCAGACAGAATGTGGTAATCACGTGTGCTGATGTGGAAATAGCATCAGGACGTGTTATTAAGTTAAAAAGTCTGTATCCGAACATGTGCATGCGATTCCTTTTGGTCAATAAATGACTATATATGCAAACATATTTTTCCTGGGAGGAGAAAAAGCATAAACAGTGGTTTACCTTTGGCTAGAAGGACTCGGGTGGTGAGGAGGGAGGTTCTTATTTCTTCAGTGTTTGCATTTTCTAACTACATATAAGCATTATTTATTTATTTCGGTGACAGCAGGTTATTTGAATTTTGCTTTCTGTTTTTTGTTTTTGTTTTTGTTTGGTATTAATGTTATGTCTTTAAAGCACTCATGTTTGTTAAAGTACACTCTAAAACCATCAAAAAGTCATGAGAATTTATTCATAATAGAAAACATGCCAGATAAAGCCGTGATATGCATATTCAACAGGCATTAAATGAATATGTATATTTTTAAATCTCCTTTCCATTATCTGCACCTCCTGCGTTCTCAGATGGCTAACTCTGCACACACCCCCCCCCATCTCTCATTTGGTTAAATCCATCTGGGGAATAAAGGGCAAAAGACAGGCCTATTTATTAACTTTGAAAAGTAGATAAATAATTAATAGCCCCGGAGTCCCTTTGGACAGTCTTCCTCACTCTCAGTCTCATATATGCTGTTCGTCCTCCTGCCATGGCGATAACCATAAATGAAGGTAAAACGCAGTCATGATTGTTAACAACCCAATTCTAATTATTACGAGAAAGTACGTTTTCTGAATGTGTATGCACAGCCCAGGTAGAAGGAATGGCCGAATGTCCAGACTTTTAAAAATTAAAACTTTGAAAGACTGTAGTAGGTAATGATTCATAAAGTTTAAAAAAAAATGGTTGAAAGGATCTCTGGACTTCTCCAGTTAATTATTTTTATTTTAAAATTGTGCTCTTTATTAAATAATGCTAAATGTATAGGCAGATGTGAAACATAGTAGCCAACATTTATTTGTCAAGTTGGTTGACTGAACCCCAGAGTGCTAGTGATTAACACCGAAAGAGCAAGACAGTCGTAGCTGCTTTTCTGTGGCCTGTGGAGCTGTGCTTGGCTAACCCAGACCACAGAGGCTTGCTGTCTCCTTTAACACTAATGAGGTTTGTATGGTCACACACGTGAGCAGCCTTTCGGTACGCCTCTCTGAAATAGGAGGATGTCCAGTTTCCTGCTAGGCCTCTGACCCTTAGCTCAGAATATGTTGTGTTTATCTCTAAATTATTGACAAGTATTATGGAAATAGAAATAGATGTGTATAGACTTCAGAGTTTCAACAATACTGTCCTCATTTTGTTTCCAAGTGTCCACTCTTTCTGTCCTTATCCTTTCTTTCTGGTGATGGCACATGCCCATGGCAGGTCTCTGCTGATAATAAAGTCATACTGCCCTGGCCGGGGTGGCTCAGTTTTTCGGAGTGTCGTCCAGTGCGCCAAAAGGTGGCGGGTTTGATTCCGGGTCAGGGCACATACCCAGGTTGCGGGTTCGATCCCCAGTCGGGGCACTTGTGGGAGGCAACTGTCGATATTTCTCTCTCCCTTCCTCTCTATTTAAAAAAATAAAATAAAATAAAGTAAAGTAATACTATGAGCTAACACTAACCAGGCATTGTTGTAAGCACTTTACATACATTGTATTATTTTACCTTCTCATCAACCTAACGAGGCATGTACTTTCATGACCCCATTTTACAGAACACTTGGGTCCCATAGCTGCTGTGTGGGAGAGCCATGTGCTCACCCCTGCACTGCACTGATTTTCTGAAATGGCGGGTATTCGTCTGAAAAGTGCCCATTGTTTAAATGCCTAGGGGCCAAAAGAAGAAAGGGAAGTAAGTCCTATAAGTTACTTTTTGAACTTTGCTCTTCTTGTGTATATGAAACCTTGGTCCCTCCCCTTTGAAGCCCTCATCGTTAATAGTAGATAAGTGAGCCCATGAAGGAGAGGAGAAGGTTTCTCTTGCTCTAGAAGCTCCCACGGGGAGTGCCAGAAGGCTCCTTATCAAAGACGCAGTTCATTTCTCCAGAAGTCCTTGCTGAAGTGCAGCAGGATCCCTAAAAGGGGCCGTGCGCTAAGCTAGAGGTTGTCTCCAGGTTACATCTTGAAATGGTGAATCGGGATGAGTGACTTTTCTTTCCCTGTGAACTGGGGAAGCTCCAGACCTGGAGGGCTTGCTGGGTGACATGAAGTCAGGAGGCCTCGCTGGGTTGTTTGGACAACCCCTTGTCTCTGTCTAGTGGGGGATTCTAAACTGTAAGCCTACAGAAGTGTAGACCCTGGAATAAGAAAGAGGCAGGCTTGAGTCGTGTAGGAATTCATACTGCATCGTTCCAGTAGCAGCTCCAGCCAGGTCAGCTGGCAAAGGGAGCCACAGACGGCGGAGATGACGCTAGAGAGCAGACGCTGAACG